AATAGCCAACATCATAGAATGAGATGATTTTTATACAATGTTCAACTCAGCTGGGCACAGTGGCTCATGCCTGTAATTCCAGCACTTTGGGAGGCTGAGGTGGGCGGATCACCTGAGGTTGGGAGACTGTTCTCTGTCAGTACAGAGCCTGCTTCGTGGTTTGATTTTAGAGCTGCGTAAGTTTCTTTGTTGGCTGTAGCGTCTTATGTAATGAGTCTCCTACTGATGGACTCTTAGAATGTTTGCAGTCCTTTGCTGTTGCAAACAGAACTATAAGGAAGTAACCTTGTACAGTCATTCTGCACAGTATGGGTGTCTGTTGGAGGAGTTCCTGCAGGTGGAATTGTTGGATCAAAGGATGTGTGCAGGCCAGGTGCAGTGGCTCACCCCTGTAATCCCAGCACTTTGGCAGGCCGAAGTGGGCGGATCACCTGAGGCCACGAGTTTGAGACCAGCCTGGCCAACGTGGTAAAACCCCGTCTGTACTAAAAATACAAAAATTAGCCAGGCATGGTGGTGCACACCTGTAATCCCAGTTACTTGGGAGGCTGAGGCTGGAGAATTGCTTGAACTTGGGAGGCGGAGGTTACAGTGAGCAGAGATCATGCCATTGCACTCCAACCTGGAGTGAGAGTGAAACTCCATTCAAACAAAAGAAAACAAACAGAAAAAAGATGTTGCAATTGAGTGTCCAAGGAATGCCAGTCAAAAGGGCCTCACTTGAATTGGTACCAATGTGCGCACCTCCCCCAAACCAAAGCAGATGGCTGAGCCGCCTGCTTCGTTCACCAATGAGGTGGGAAAGGATGGGTGCCAACCTGATCTCATTGTAGCGGAACCAGTCTTTAAAGGTAAAGGTTGGCTGGGGTTGTAGGGTGGGGTTCGAGGGATTCTGTCTCTCTTCCTTGGTCAGTGCCTCTGGAGATGCTGTCCTCTTCCTTGTCGGTCTCACAGAGCAAAGCTTGGTGGAAGTATTCAGGGCCGGGCAGCTGGTTCCTGCAAAAGAGGGTGGCCTTGCAGGAGCGAACGCGGAGCGGGCGATGGCTTCCCCCGTTACGCACTGGTTTCCCGGATCGTCGGATTGTGCGCAAGGGAAGTTCGGAGTGGCTGGGGGCCCCTGTGTCCTGGCCCCTCGCGATGGCAGCAGCTACCCCTGGGGTGGCTCTTTGGGCTGCAGGTTCTGCTGTGCACAGCACGTCCCTGGGTGGCACATAGGGCAGGCTTTATCAAATATTTGTGCTGGGACGAAAATTCAGGATGGAAACTGCGGCTGTCTGAATTGCGGTCATCGAGGAGTGTGCTTCCCGAGTCAGTCAGGAACCCTTCAGCTCTGCCCAATATTTTCACAGGAGTTTACCTTTAGCTAAATCACTTTCACCTTTGGTCCAGCTTGTCCAGTGGACTTTCTGCTCGAATGGGAATATTTTTAGTCTGTGCTGCCGATGGTGGTAAGCCGCTTGTGGTTCCAATGTGATTTAAGGAAGCGGAATTTTTAAATTGCTGTTTAACATTAATTAAATGGGGCTGTGGAGCCACTATTGAACCAGTACTGCTTTAGAGCATTAAAGGCTCATCTGTGAAACTGTGCATGATGTCATCTCTCACTCTTAAATAGCCAACCATACATAGAATGAGATGTTTTCTTACACAATGTTCAACTCAGCTGGGCACAGGGGTCATGCCTGTAATTCCAGCACTTTTGGAGGCAAGGCAGATGACTGCTTGAGCACAGAAGTTTGGGACCAACCCTGGGGGCAACCATGGTGAAAACCTCTACAAAAAATACAAAATTAGCCAGGATTGGGTGGTGGCGTGCCTGTGTCCCAGCTTACTTGGGTAACCGAGCTGAGGCAGGAGGATACACCTAGGCCACAGGAGGTTGAGGCTCAGTGAAGCTGTGATCATGCACTCAGCCTGGGGAACAGAGTAAGACCCGTCTCAAAAAAAAAAAAAAAAAAAGAAAAGAAAAGAAAGGCCAGGTGCAGGTGGTCATGCTGGTATATCTCAGCACTTTGGAGCTGAATGGGCGAATCGCTTGAGTCGGAGTTCGAAGACCAGGCCCAACATGTGGCAAACCAGCTCTATAAAAACTACAAATAGACCAGTTCGGTGGGTGGTGCACACCTGTAGTCCAGCCTAACTCGGGAGGCTGAGGCAGGAGAATTGCTTGAACCCAGGGAGGCAGACATTGCAGTGACTGGAGATTGCATCACTGCATTCCAGCCTGGGGACAGCACAAGATTTCTTCTCACAAAAAAAAAAAAAAAAAAAAAAAAGGTTTAGGCTCATACTCTGAGCACCAAATAGCATTCAGTAGATGCCAGGCTATTACGGCTGTGAGCATCTGACATCTTATGTCACCCTAAAGATGGACCACGTTTATACCATCTGAGGATAGTGAGATTTTCTTACCCCCTGGGATCCCAGAGACTGATCCATTTGCAGTGACAGGGCCAAGCCAAACCTAATAAAACCAGCAGACATCACTGCATCTTTCATGCTAGGCATTGTGCTAAGGGCTTTGCACTTAGGATCTCAACTGCTGAGACTGTTCACCCTCCTCGCAATGACCTTTTCAGTAGGTGTGACTGTTATCCCCCTTGTACAGAGCGGGAAACTGAGGCTCAGAGCTAAGTGACTAGTCTAGCTGGTAAGTGGATGGGGCTGGCGGGATGTCCAGCTCAGATGGACAGCAAAGCTGTAGGTTGGAAGGACTGTGCCTTAGCCTTGTTTCCTGTTGCCTGGGCCTCCCTGAACTGGGCAGAAGAGGAGCTTGCCCCCCTGCCAGTGAAACCAAGAGCCCTCTCTCAAGGTGCTCCCTGCCTCCTGCTTGAAGAGGCCTCCTGTCTTTTTTAGACCTTGTCCGCAGGGACAAGAATCTCACCCAGCCCCACCAGATCTAAGAATCCCGAGTCAGATGAGGCATCACCCCGCTCCATTCCTCCAGGCCGCCACCCCACCCCATCTTGCATATGCACATCAGACCATGCACAATTCCATGTTTCCTTATTTCATTCTCAGCATGGCCAGAGAACCCAGATGAGTTTCTTGCAAATATCCTTAGAATGAATGGTCCTGTATAAAGACAGATGGCGTTGTGTTTGCACGGCTCAGGAAATTTTTTTGGGAGGCTTCAGGATCATTTGTCTATCAAGTGCTACTTGTGGGATCAAATAAGGCAGAAATGAATCTAGACCAGGGGCTGAAAACTGGTAGCCCTCAGGCTGGATCAGCTATGCAGACATTTTGTTGTTGTTGTGTGGCTAATATGATGCCAGGACATTTATTTTGAGCCAGTACTTAAAAACCGAAAGAGTCTGCCTAAAAATCCCAGATCTCTGGCTTCACTCACAAAATCAGAAATGTTGACCATGGAACTGAGCTCCTGTCTGGCAGCGACTTGCTCATTTACGTTTACCTGGCCTGCAGGTACCTGAGTTTTGGCTGTTGCCTTAGTCAGTGAGCATCTTAAGTCCAAGGTCACCACCCAGGGAGTGGGCGGGAGAAGATGAGGGGTTTCTGCTCTTTGTCTGCAGTTCAGGCATGTGTCCACCAGAGGTCCCCTTTCTGTGAAGTGACTGAAGTATGGAGAAAGCTCTAAAGTAAAACCGCTGGGTTTGAATCCTGGCTCCACCAATTACTTGCTGTGTGACCTTAGGCAAGTGGTCTAACCTTTCTGAATTTTACTGTCCTAGTCTCTAAGTGGTGGTGATAAAAGTGCCTACTTTCAGTAGTCTTTGTGATAAAGGAAATCTATCAAAAACCTTAAAACAGTGTTCCATCCATTTCAGCTATTGTTACTACTATTATTTTATCAAACAGAGGTGTGTCTGCCCTTTTGGCCCAGATTGTTAAGGGTTTCTCCATTTTTGATGTTATAAAAATGTTACTTTTATGATTTTCTGTGATCTTAAACTTCAGAGTAAATTGAAATTATATATATGTAAATCATAAGGTTAAAATGCACAAGTGAATCCTGAATCAAAGAGGAGACTCCTTTTATGTTATGAATCACCCCCTTCAAATGTGAGTCATTCTGTACCTTCAGATCCTAGACAGGGTGCAATGGCTCATGTCCGTAATCTCAACACTTTTGGAAACCGAGGTGGGAGGATCGCTTGAGGCCAGGAATTCGAAACCAGCAACATAGTGAGATCCTATCTCTACAAAAAATTTAAAAATTAGCCAGGCATGGTGGTGCATGCCTGTAGTCCCAGCTACTCAGGAGACTGAGGTGGGGGGGTCGCTTGAACCCGGGAGTTTGAGGCTGCAGTGAGATACAGTGGCGCCACTGCACCCCAGCCTGGGTGACAGAGTGAGCCCCTGTCTCTGTTTAAGAAAAACAACAACCAGAAACAAACAGGTCCTTGATCATCACCTTTCTTAAAGGGGCTCATCTGCAATATGTCCCTATTTGAGAAAGCCTCTAAGTGACTCCACTATTGTTCTCTCTCTGCCCCCTGCCTGCCCTGGTGAGTTGAAAAGGCACTGATTGGGCTTCGACTTTTGCACCATAGCTCATATTTTTGAAGATAATTTTTTGTGCTGAGACAGTTTTCTTCTTTCTGGCTATCAGTTTAATGTGGGAGCTGTATCTTGTTGTAATACACAAACATGTAATACACAAACATGACCACAAGAGGGTAGATGTATTCTGCAATACTGCCCTAGAATCACCATCCGTATGCTATTTCACCCTTATTTACTTTGGGAGGCTGAGGTGGGCGGATCACCTGAGGTTGGGAGTTTGAGACCAGCCTGGCCAACATGGTGAAACCCCGTCTCTACTTAAAATACAAAAATTAGCCAGGTGTGGTGGTTGGTGGCTGTAATCCCAGCTACTTAGGAGGCTGAGGCAGGAGAATCGCTTGAACCCAGGAGGCGGAGGTTGCAGTGAGCTGAGATCATGCCATTGCACTCCAGCCTGGGAGACAAGAGTGAGACTCTGTCTCAAAAACAAAAAACAAAACAAAAAACCTTTACTTAAGTAATAATATATGTTAAGATGTTGAGTAGTAAGTGCTATAAAAGAAGACTCATATATACGTACAGATATATATGCATAAATGTAGAAGCTTGACAAATTTTGAGGTGTCTCCATATGATGGTGTCTAGGGAGACACTATTTTGGGAAGATGGGGTGGCGGTGAAAGTTCGCTTGCCAGCACGTTGAGAATCCTGCCTTTTCTAGGTCCCTTTCCCCAACTCCACGCTACACTCCAGCGTTTCTGCTTTGCCTTAGGATGCAAAGCCATGCCCCATGGGGCTCAAAAACAAACCTAGTTTCATTTCCAGCATGGAGCACGGACCTTCAATCCCTTTCCCATTAGGTTTCCTGAAGACCAGTGTGAGGCCTGGACTCTGCAGCCGGAGAAGAAAGGAAGCAGAGTGGGGCCCAGCCATCAGCGCACCTGCCTTTTCCTGTGCTTGCTCTGAGTGTGTGCTGGGATTTCAGATGAGTCCCTGCAGAGCAGGAGGCACTGGGAGCCATGTAAACATGAAAAAATGGGGCCCTGGCTTATAAACATTCGAGAGACAGGCACAGTGTTGACGCCAGACAGGGTAGTAATTATAATAGCACTAAGCACCTGCGCTACCTTGCCAAGTGTGAACACTTAGGATTCCCACTTTATAGATGAGTAAAGTGAGGCCCAGAGAGGTTGAGCGACTGGTCAGAGGTTATCTAGCTAATGAGTGGCAAACCGGAGATTCGGAGACCCCACTGTTGTGCAAAGCGTTTACACGGCGGAGTGTTCTCCTCTAGGCACTACTAGAGGGCGGGGTGGAGGCAGAGAGGCTGTTCCTGCCCCACCGTTGACAATCCTCTCTCCCCTCCCCTAGGAAATCTCCCCGGGCCAGCTGAGCCTGGAGGACCTCTTGGAGATGACGGATGAACAGGTGTGCGAGACTGTGGAGAAATACGGAGCCAACCGGGAGGAGTGTGCCCGCCTCAATGCCTCCCTCTCCTGCCTCAGGAATGTCCACATGTCAGGTGAGCAGGCCCTGGGGCCGGGGATGTGGAGACTTGTCCCCAGAACAGCTGCCACGGTCCCTCGGCATCCTGTGCCTGCCACTGCAGGCCAGGACGAGACAGTCAACCCTGGGGGGCAAATGTGACACGCAGGAAGAGGCAGCATGGACCTGGGATTTGGAGGCCGGAAGACGCCGACAAGGGCAGTTCTTGGGTTTGAACTCTTGCCCCAGGACGACCTGCTGAGGTTTAGGGTATCTGGTGCTGGATAATTAGGGTCCGGACATGAAAATGTTGAGTGTGCATAGGAGACCAGGTTCTTTTTACTTTAGACATGTTGAAGTGCCTTTGCATTTTGGGTCAATGTCTAGCTTCTATTTTTTTATTTTTATTTTTTTACAGAAGTGATTTGCATTCATTGTAACATAAACCAGAAAATAGAATTTTTAAAAAATCGCCCTAAGCCCCACCCTCTAGGTAACTGCTGTTATCATTGTGGTATAATTTTTCCTGACAAATGGATATATGTTTACTTTAAAAAACAGAATTAGAATTATCCGTACATATTGCTTAAAATTTTTTTTTTTCACCTGATAAAATAACCTCTGTGACTTGTATCAGTTTGGGGGCCAAATATATTGTCATCCCTCCTGGATGTTTTCCATTAATTGCCCAGATACCCATTTGTCTTTATTAGCAGAACATCAAATATCATCTTCCTGAGGCTTCCTGCTTCTCTCTAGCCTCATGATTTATCTGCAAATTCTGGGGCCTTTCTGTCCCAAGGGATGCGCTCTGCAAACGCCAGCCACGGAGAAGTGTTAGTGACCATCAGCACGGTTGTTTCAGTTCCCACCACAAGGTGTCACTGTTGAGCATCAGTCTGGCAGAGTCAGGTGGAGGCTCTCGGATGCCCTTGCTTGATTCAACCTGCTCTATTCAACAAGCATTTGTTGAATATTGTTCTAGACCTGGAGAAGTCTTCTAATCTGAGTGGCTATGGGGTGCCAGCAGGGCTGAGGAGGCAGCAGTGAACAAAACAGAACATACTTGAAACAGGTCATTGGCCTAGTCCTCCATGCGTGCCCTTTTGTATTTTTTTCTTGCTGGCAGATCCTGATTCAGGTACAGTCAGCATCAAAAGGGATCATGCAGCCGGGCACACTGGCTCATGCCTGTAATCCCAGCACTTTGGGAGGCCAAGGCAGGAGGATCTCTTGAGCTCAGGAATTCCAGACCAGGCTGGGCAAATGGTGAAACCCCATCTCTACAAAAAATACAAAAAAAAAGTGCCGTGTGTGGTGGCACACACCTGTAGTCCCAGCTACTTGGGAGACTGAGGCTGGTGGATCACTTGAGCCCAGGACATTGATTGAGGCTGCAGTGAGCCATGATCACATTGCTGCACTCCAGCCTGGGTGACAGAGCAAGATCCTGTCTCAAAAATAAAGTGGGGGCGGACCATGCACTGGGGGCTGTCTTATGCCTTGAAGGATGTTTGGTTAGAAGCATCCTTGACCTCTGCCCATGAGATACCAGTAACATCCCCCAACTCAAAGTCATGACACACGGAAATATCCCCAGATATTTCAAAATGTCCCCAGGGAGGCACAATCACTGCTGGCTGACGAGCTGTAAAGGTGATGCTACTCTTTACCTCTAGCACAATGGTGCTGACTCACCGAACATGAGTGTGGCTGACAGGGAGGGGCCTCTCAGTCACTCAGTACATACAAAATCTACTCCAAAGATGACTTTCTCTCTTTACCCACAGTGAGAAGCAGATGGCAGTTTTCTCTCTTTAAAAAAAAATTGCAGGCCAGGCATGGTGGCTCACACCTGTAATCCCAGCACTTTAGGAGACTGACGCCGGTGGATCACCTGAGGTCAGGAGTTTGAGACCAGCCTGACCAATATAGTGAAACCCCATCTCTACTAAAAACACAAAACTTTAGCTGGGCGTTGTGGCACACACCTGTAATCCCAGCTACTTGAGAGGCTGAGGCAGGAGAATCTCTTGAACCTGGGAGGTGGAGGTTGCAGTGAGCCAAGATTCATGCCGCTGCTCGTAGCCTGGAGTGACGCGAGGACTGTCTCAAAAACAAAGACAAAGACAAACAAAACACATATTTTAAGGAATTGTGGTGCTACCATTTAACTGTCTCTGTGCATGCGCATGCTTTTTGTCACACTTTATGACACAAAACAGTCCTTGACTAG